GTATGTGTGCTGTCTGTGCAGCTGTCTGTGGCTGTTTGTGGCTGTCTGTGGGTGTCTGTGTGCTGTCTGTGGGTGTCTGTGGGTGTCTGCGGGTGTCTGTGGGTGTCTTCATGTTTTACTATTACCCCGACATTTCAACGCACACCTTACTATAACACTAGAAAACAAGCCACTCCCCGAATATTTCGAAAATTTAGTCAGTCCATCACAAAGAAATCCGTCGGTTTCCACCAATATTCATTAAGCCAAAGTCGTGCGATTAAATGAGCAGGCTTTATCTTCAGCGTCAAATTAATAAATAAGCGACATTTCTACTTAACACATAAAATCAGATATTCCTCCTCATTACGGTATGACAATTATGCATTGCCGTAGAATGACATAAAAATGTGTGCAAAAAGAATCTCCAATTTTCTCCGTTAAACTGAAATTTCAGCTTATCATAAATTAAAGTTGAAATGCAAGATGTATGCAGCCCTTATCAATTTCATGATCATACTTGATTAAACATACCCGGAAACACCCCGACGTACTCTTATATTACCGGTTTTCTTTAGAAACGAGGAGTACACTTTGTACATAGCTACCGCATTGTACTCTTACCTTTCCCTTGAACGGACACTAATTTCCCACTGACAATTTCTTCACCATACCGGACAGATGACTCTGAAACGAAAAACATGAAAACAATATACAGTAGTGGAATATATTGCAGAATATATGACTCCTATTTAAGGCAATATTTCAAAAAATTAGTTAGTCCATCAGAAAGAAATACGTCCGTCTCTACCAAATTTTATTTAGTCAAAGTGGTGCGATAAAATGCGCAGACCTTTCCTTTGGCGTTAAATTGAAAAAGACGCGACATTTCGATTTAACACATAAAAATCACATATTCTTCCTGCATTTCGGAATGACAACTATGCATAGCCGTAGAATGACACAAAAATGTGTGCAAAATGAATATCTAATCTTCTGAGTTAGATTGAAATTTTAGCTCATCATAAAATTAGATTGAAAACGAAGATGTATACAGCCCCTATCAATTTGATCATGATACTTGATTACATATACACGGAAACAGACCGACGTACCCTTATATTAGTGGTTTTCCTCAAAAAGGAGGACTACCCTTTGTTCATAGGCAGCGTATTATACTCTTACCTTCTCGTTGAATCGACACTAATTTCTCACTGGCATGACGACCCTGAAACGATAAATCAAAAAGACGTATAGTACTGGAATATACTGCAGAATATTTCACGGCAGTAGAACGGAATATTTCAAAAAATTAGGTAGTCGATCACAAAGAAATACGTCGGTCTCCACTATTGTTTATTAGGTGAAAGTGCCAAATGACCAGGCTTCATCTTCCGCGTTAAATTAATAAAGAAGCGACATTTCGATTTAATACATAAAAATCACATATTCTTCCTGCATTTCGCTATGACAACTATGCATAGCCGAATGACGTAACAACTGTGTGCAAAAACAATATCAAATTTCGCGTTTTAAACTAAAACTTCAGTTCATCAAAAGTTTAGCTTCAACAGGAAGACATCCAAAATCGCTATCAAACTACGTAGGTAAAGTTAGCACCAGATTCGAATATTTTCGCCCCAGATTCATTTCTAAACTTGGTCCAAACCTGAACTGAACATCATTCGATAGAGCTCATCGAGACACATGCAGAAGTGTCTTCCGATGATCTTCATCTCAACAAAAACATCACAAAGTTTTCCAAAGATCCTTTATCTCTGTGCTGTCCAGGAATAAAAGCTCCGCAGATTCATTCCAGGACTTGGTCCAAAGCTGAACTGAACATCATTCGACAGAGCTCATCGAGACGCATCCAGAAGTGTCCTCTGATGACCTTCATCTCAACAAAAACATTAGAAAGTTTTCCAAAGATCCTTTTTCTCTCTGGTATTCAGGAATAAAAGTTCCGCAGATTCATTCCACGATTTGGTCCAAAGCTGAATTGCACACTGTTGGATAGAGCTCATCGAGACGCATCCAGAAGTGTCCTCTGATGACCTTCATCTCAACAAAGACATTAGAAAGTGTTCCATAGATGCTGTTTTTATTGTACTGTATATGCATATACAACGTGTACTCCCAAGAAAATACATGAAAAAGTAACAGAAAATAGCTACGTGGAAGCAGAGAAGATGCGTGCGGAATTAGAAGTAGTATATCAAATTAAAATAAAGATTGAGATGTGTTCGAATAATAGTAGTCATTTGTTATTGTGATTGTTGTTTCTCTAAGCGTTTTGTATGATAATAGTCCAGTAACTCAGTATTTTGAGATAGCATGCGTTTTACGGTACAACTAAATTTATGCCAGCAGTAGATTATCGCTACTGTTACCAAAATCCAAGTTACAGTCACAGCAGACAGAATGTAAAACTATGTTGTTCGAGTCATTGGCATTGATGGTACACTAGAACATTCAGAGATGATATGACGCATGTGCATTGTAAGAGAGGCGTTCGGACCTGTACAACGGTTTGAAAAGAAGCTGCTTAACGGGCAAAATTAACTATGTTTTCCTTTTTGCGGGAAAAAATAATTGCGTAATAAACAAATTACTCACTGAGTTGACTCTGGTTTTGGTACTTGATTAATAAAGTTTATAATATTATCAACGTCGCCTTGTAAATACGGTAAATTATCCCATACACTAGAACTATTCAAACTTTTCACCATCTCAAATATCTCATTTTCTGGACTGTTCAGTGTTCCGTTTTGTAGAATAACATATGTATTTTAAAAGAAGACAAATGTATCAGGTTAAATATGTCTTTATTTTAACTAAAGACTTTTGGCTGATTTCGCTGTGAGGACCCGCTTAATGTCGTACAATTTCACGAAAGTTTTCCTGTAATTGAATTCTTCTGAAAAATTTCAGATCGTGGCACCTATGTATTAGTGTATTTTCTTACAGTGATGCTCAAGACTAATACATTGATTTACGTGACTAATAGTGTTGTGCAGTTAACTTACCTATTTCGTCTTTATTTGGAGTGTTATAGTTTTGCTTGAGACGAACGAAATATGTTGGAAGAAGAGATGTTCAGTCAATAATTGTGCTAAACCATACTCAGCATAGGTTGTATTTATGTACAAATCAATATCATTTAGCACCGAAGCTATCAGTACATCCCTGTCCCTGTTATGAACATAAGATAAAGTCGGTCTATTGTTTAACATATCATTCATTACGGAATACAATAATGACTGTTGATACGAAAGTTTCAATTCGCCAAGTTCTCTTGCGAGATACATAACATAATCTTATAAAATTAAAAAATACAATAGAAATTAGCTAATGAACAGGGCTGACCGGCCGACAAATCCAAGCAAGAGATCTTTCATTAGAGAAAATGATAACAGGATAACTTACACTCAATGCATTGACAGCCATTACAATATTATTCACCCGTGAAATTGTAGAATTCAGACTCTCTTGAGTATATTTCAATCCTTGACCAAGCCGTACTTGTCCTTCATTTAAATGAACGATTTGCGCTCCGTGAACATCAACTTTATTAGACATGGTGTTGGACGATGACGCAAAATCGCTCATTCTTGTTTGCAATTTTTTAATTTCAATTGCGTTCCTTGTATCCAAACCGAGCGTAGCTCCTGCTGTGAGGAGAGAAATACCGTCTAAAATAGATCGTTTTTCTTGATGCTTTTGCCGACATTGAGCAATCATAGCAACACCTCTGGATGCGTCTCGCTGAGCTCTTTCGAACAATGTTCAGTTCAGGTTTGGACCAAGTCCTGGAATGAATCTGCGGAGCTTTTATTCCTGGACAGCACACAGATAAAGGATCTTTGGAAAACTTTCTAATATTTTTGTTGAGATGAAGGTCATCAGAGGACACTTCTGGATGCGTCTCGATGAGCTCTATCCAACAGTGTGCAATTCAGCTTTGGACCAAGTCTTTGAATCTGTGAATTGTTTACTGGAAAACCGCAATTTTTCTGGTTATAAAAACCAGTTTTTTAAGTTTTTCTCATAAACCACTGTTTGTTTTGAGAAAGGAAGTACAGGGTTTTGTAGAGCTTGTTGAGCTCTATCTGGACCAAGTCATTTCCAGGTTGGACCAAGTTTAGAAATGAATCTGGGGCGAAAATATTCGAATCTGGTGCTAACTTTACCTACGTTATCAAACTGATCATCCTACTTGATTAAACCTACACCGAAACAGACCGCAGTATTCTTATATTAGCGATTTTCTGTACACAGTAAGCGTACACTTTCTACACTGCTAGCTTATTAATTTCTACGAAATTGAACATGATTATTGAAGAAATACACACGGAAGCACACGGACGCAACTTCTAGTAATATGCGGAAAAAGAATGTCTAATTTTGTTTTAAGTTGCAATTTCACCTGATCAAAAATTTAAGTTGAAAAGCAACATGTATGCAGTCCTTGATTAAATATACACGGAAGGAGACCGACGTATTCTTATATCAGTGGGTTTTTTTAAAAAGGACGAGAACACTTTGTTTAACAGATAGCATACTGTATTCTTACCTTTTCCTTTAACCGACACTAATTTCTGACTGGCAATTTCATCAACATACTGGACGGATGACTCTGTATTCTTATCTTAGTGCTTTTTTTCTTAAGCGAGGAGAGCACTTTGTTCATAGGTAGCGTATTGTACTCGTACGTTTTCGTTCAACCGAGGGTATTTTCTGACCAGCAATTTCTTCACCATACTTGGCAGGTGACTCTGTAACGATAAACATGGAAAAATTTTATAGTGGTGAAATATATTGCAGAATATATTACTCCCGACGGAGATATTTCGAAAAATTAGTTGCTAAATCACAAAGAAATACGTCGGTCTACCCCAAACGTTTCTTGAGAGAAAGTGGTGCGATTAAATGAGCAGGCTTTATCTTCGGGGTTAAAGTAATAAAGAAACGACGTTTCGATTTCACACAAATCACATATTCTTGCTGCATTTCGGTATGACAATTATGCTTGAAACTAAAATCCTAAAAATTGCAAATAAAAACACATAAAAAGAATTAAATAAAAATAGCAACCATAAAAGTCAGAAATTAACAATTTTCTGAAAAACTAACACATAAAAATTTATAAAAAATGTTATTTCAACAGTAATAACAACAACTCAATAATGAAAAGGCGCCAATCCCAATTTAACCATTATAAGAATAAAAGAAAAAGAAAAATAATTTCAATAAACAGTCAAAAAAAAGAAGAAAAGAAAATACTCCTTGAATAAAAAAATACATAATTAAACTATAATATTTACTATCATTTAAAACCAAAAATAACAATATCAAGAATAACATAAACTCATTAATTAGCCAAACATAAAAAACATTAGAACTCATTAAACTCAAAAACAACAAAACCATATAGATACTACTCACTTAAAATTAATTCTATTAAGTAACAATTAATAATTATAATAACTTAATTTTAAAGAAAATCTAAATTATTGATTAGAAATCAAATTTTATTTTCTTCATTATATCTTCCACTAAAAAAAAACAAATAATCCTTAAAAAAAAAGAACAATTTTAAATATAAACCACATTCCAAAAATAACTAAAAGCTAACAAAAAACTTAAAAGCTTTAAATAAAACATAAGAACAAAATAATTAATTTTACCAAAAACTCTAATTTTCAGTTCTAAATTGAAATTTCAGCTCATCATAAATTTAGGTTGAAAACCAACATGTATGCAGTCCTTATCAGTTTGATAAGGATACTTATCTAAATACGTATTAAATGTACCCGGAGGGTGACCGACGTATTCTTATGTTAGTGGTTGGTTTTAAAACGGACGAGAACACTTTGTTTAACAGATGGCATATTGTATTCTTACCTTTGCCTTTAACCGACACTAATTTCTGACTGGCAATTTCTTCACCATACTGTACAAATGACTCTGAAACGATAAACATCAAAGAAAATGTATAGTGGTGAAATATATTGCAGCATGTGTGACTCGTATGTAAGGGAATATTTCGAAGATTTAGTTAGTGGATCACAAAGAAGTACATTATACTGAATTTTCAGCCCTCATAAATTTAAGTTGAAGTAGCGGATGTATGCAGGCCCGATCTATTTCACCGTGGTACTTGGTTAAATATACACCGAAAGAGACCGACGTATTCTTATAGTAGCGGTTTTTTCATAAACGAGGAGTGCGCTTTGTTCATAGCTAGCGTACTGTACTCTTACCTTTTTGTTGAACCGAGAGTATTTTCTAACCAGCAATTTCTTCACCATACTTGACAGATGACCCTGAAACGATAAACATGAAAAACATATGTAGGAGTGATTATATTGCAGCATATATGACTGGTATTCAAGGGAGTATGTCGAAAATTTTGTGGTTCGATCAGAAAGAAATACGTCAGTCTCGACCAATGTTTATTTAGTCAAGGTGATCTGATTAATTGAGCAGTCTTTATGTTCAGCGTTAAATTAACAAATAAGCCACATTTGGACTTAACACATGGAAGTCACATATTCTTCCTGCATTTCGGTATGACAATTATGGATAGGCGTAGAATGAAATGAAAACATGTTGATAAGGAACGTCTAATTTTCTGTTTTAAATTGAAATTTCACCTTATCATAGCTTTAAGTTGAAAAGCAACATGTATGCAGTCTCTATCAATATGATACGGATACTTGAGTAAATATACACGGAGGGAGACCGATGTATTCTTATATCAGTGGGTTTTTTTTGAAAAAGGACGAGATCGCTTTGTTTATCAGCTGGCATATTGTATTCTTACCTTTTCCTTTAAGCGACACTAATTTCTGACTGGCAATTGCTTCATTATACTGGACAGATGACTCTGAAACGATAAGATGATGAAAATGTTTAGTAGTGATAATATTGCAGCATATATGAGTGCTATTCAAGGGAATATTTTGAAAATTTTGTTGTTCGATCACAAAGAAATACGTTGGTCTCTAGCAATGTTTAGTCAGTCAAGGTGATGCGATTAATTGATCAGGCTTTATGTTTAGCGTTAAATCAATAAATAAGCGACATTTCGATTTAACACATGAAAATCACATATCTTTCCTGCATTTCGGTATGACAATTATGCCTAGCCGTAGAATGACATAAAATTGTGCGGAAGAAGAATGTGTGATTTTCTGCGTTAAGTTGAAATTCCAGCTCCTGATAAATTTGAGTTGTAAAGGTCGGTGTATGCAGCCCCGATCAATTTCATCGTGATACTTGATTAAATATACGTGGAAAGAGACGGACGTACTCTTATATCGGTGGTTTTTTTCATAAACTAGGAGTACACTTTGTTAATAGCTGGCGTATTGTACTCTTACCTTTTCGTTGAATCGGCACTGATTTCTGATGTTGAATCTGCTGGCCGGATTGGACGGACGACTCTGAAACAGTCAGTATAAGAAAAATGTGTGGTAGTGGAGTATATTGCAGCTTATGTGTGTGCAGTTTAGTGGTGTATTTCGAAAAGCCGAAGTTTTTTTTTCATATAGCTGTGGCAATCAGGGTATTTGTGCTTACGCGGTACTGCTGTTGGCTTGATTGCTGTTTTTGTATCGGTTGGCGTGGTTGGCAGATCGTTAAGCATTGTCAGGACTCGAGTTAATAGGGAGTTGTTGGCTAGAATGGAAGGTGTATAAGCGATATTTGGCATGTGTGTTTTATTGGCTAAGTGTTCGGTAGTTTTACTGTTTTGTTGATTTGTTGGCATTTTAAGGAATAATTTTTAAGCTTTGTGACGTTATGAAGCTTTATATCTATAGAAAGAATAAGTGTGATTGGCATTTATTAATCGCCTGGTAGGTGTGGTTGAGGTTTCGATGCTGGGAAAAATTGGAAGGAGATTTCCGTGAAACTTAGAAGACTAGTTCTGTGAAAAGTGTTTACAGAAGTAACAGTTTTGTTAGGCTAAGTCTTGGAGAGTGATGTGAGTTGAAGAGTTAAAAAATGAAAGTTGTGTTTTAAACCAACAGTCTTGGAAGATGGCTTTAAAGCTGTTTTACAGGCTTAGTCTTATAGTTTTAAACTAAATTGTGCTAGCTCTAGTCTTTCTCGGAAAGACGGATTGCTATTATGATGTAACCACTGAAAACAGGCTATAGAAAAAGGAGATTTAATATTTGAAGACTGAAACAAATTGAGAAAGGCATAAAGTTTGTGAAATTGTTCACTTAGCAGCGATTGTGATGACAATCAGTCCGTTTTTAAGAGTTATGCCCCGAACAGCAAATATTTCCGGTTCAGGAAAGATGTATTTCCGGATTGGGAAATATGTCCTGATTGGGAAAGCGAAATTTATCCCGTTCGGGAAAGATTTCGACATGTCTGCTTTGAAACCGTTCAGCGCATTTTATAACGTTTCCGCGCATGTTCTGGTTGGTTCCATTCAAAAGCGCACGAAAAACTGTAGTGATTGACGCGGTGCCAGGTGAATTCGACGTGCTTCTAGCAGATCTGTTAGTATAGAGATGTTGAATAGAGATAGAATCAGAATCTTTCCCGATCGAGAAAGACATTTTTGTCGAAAGAAAAAGGAAGAATGCAGAATTATAAACATGTATTATCGAGTTCTAGTGTAAGGAATATCTGCTGACTAGGCTTCAAATGATCAATATATTGAATATAACTAGATCCAGTGTGTATACTTTTTAAATTTGAAGATAATATAAACACGTCACTTTTCTCTAACTTAGCCATTGAGCAGGCCAATCTAATGGCGTTTCGACATGTGGCAATAAAAATTATTCAATTTCTTTTCTTTTCATCAGGTTTCGGTTGAGATGTTGGCACTAGGTATACATCGGTATCAGTATCCATACCGAAATACTGATACCGACCTTTTTCGATTTCGACTTTTTGGATTTTTTCAATTGAAATGAGCTATTTTAGAGTCATGAACAGTCAGAACACAAAAACACTCAGGTGTGTATACTGAGCATGTATAGACAGAAAATAAAGGAGAACTTTGGCTTTGGAAAGCAAAAAAAGCTCTTGTTTTGTGTCGCTGGTTCGTTCTGGCTGTTCATGACGCTAAACTATCTCATTTAAAATGAAAAAATCCCAAAATATCCAAATCGAAAACAGTCGCTATTTACAGTATTCAGTACTCTTATACCGGTGCGCACCTCCTTGGCACTCAGAAAGTCAGACGGGCGTTAAGAAGAGTACAACGTATTGCACCATTTTCCGATCAGGAAATACATCTTTCCCAAAGGGGAAATAATTGAGTTTTCCCGAACAGAAAATATCCTGTCTTATTTCACGATTAGGAAATAAAAACAAGGGATTTTCCAACAAAAAGTTGTTTTAGCATTGCACGTAACCAACGCTAAAAGAGGCGCTTCGGCTTTTCACATAAGGCAAATGTAAATCAGTTAAGCAGCAGAATAAAAACTGGCCGCACTCTAGACGACTTATGGTTCATGAGATAACATCTTTCCCGATTGAGAAAGTTTCCTGATCGGGACATATTTCTCGATCGGGAAAGTGGAAACGGACTGACAGTTTGAAGCAGACTGAACGCTCACAGTTTGCGTTTCTCGTCAAATTGTATTAATAGAAGATGTTCCAATGGTGTGGGAAGATGATCCTAGTGTTCAGAAAAATGAATTTTTGCTCTGCATTGAGCTGCTGAGCAACTAAGACACTAACTCATCCTGAAAGGCATACAAGTGTTTTTTTTCTGAGAACGATTTGTTGCCTGATTTTCTTATTGGAGGAAAGAACATATACTAGCCTCTATTTTTTGACCGCCATTTGCGATACACTTTATGTGTTTACGTAGAGAAATGCATAATCCATTAGTGTGCTAAAATAAGGGTAATCTTAAACTAGTTTTAAAGTAAAGTTTTAAACTATCATGAAACGTAGTTAAGTATGAAGTATCGGTGGCAAGAAAGGCGCCATAAGTTTTTTTTCCAAATTTTTTTGTCGCTACTCCCGTTGCTGCATAAGCTAAAAACTGAGTGTATCAGATTCAATGGCGACTGATAAATTTGATTGGTTGAAACTGATCATTGATAGGAGTAGCCACTGTTCTTGTTTCCTTTCAGCTTCGCATCTCAAAGATTTTGATCACATAAGAAAGTCTGCCACTTTTTTGGTGAATATTGGTGAAATTATGAATTTTTTAACGTGGGGCTTTGATCAAAATTTTCGATCTAACGGCTGATTTTCGATGTTTCGTAAGTCATCCAGAAATAATGACAAAAGTTTGGTTTAAGTATGTTTAGATGCCCAATTATTTATAGTTATTATGTATGTAAAAAAGTTAATGTTACTTCAGGAGTATGCTCCCGAAGGAAGTCTCTACGACTTCCTTCAAGACCAGGGAGCGACGAACGTAAGCAAAACAGCTGTGGCCGAGATCTTTGTACAGCAATGTCATTCATCGCGCATAACAATCTGAGGCAAATCTGTTAAATTAAACACAGGGAGCACTCTGATAGATCTTGGATCCGCGACCTACTCTTTCAAAAACTAATAAGGTATACCACCTGCAGGTGGTATTTTCTGAGAAATTTTTATGTCAACTGGTAGCTAATTATCTCGTGTATGCAATGCTGAAAATCGCAAGTCTTCGAAGTGCATTGTTCAAACACTATTAAGGAAACCCACCGGCATTCTTTTTTAATGGAACCACATAAACTACGCCGGCAGCAAGAACTACGCAGCACATTGCGTTACCCAGTCTGAAATGATAAATGCAATAGATATTCTCCTTGTAACCTGCTGTAAGGATATTCTCCATGTTTAGTTAGCTTTTATTATTTTATATGCAGAGAAATTCACAAAAAGATGACCCTTTTTTACGAATAACAACCAAAACACAAACAAAAGAAATTTAATCTTCCTATTTATCGAAGTTGCATGACTTCAACAACTGGTATTATGCTGACATAATGTGGAAACGTTCGATTTTATTTCTTTAGCTGCTTACGAAATACTTACGAGTGACGCATTCAGAATCAGCGTGAAATTCTGCGTCGAGGCATGTGGCACCTTGGAAAAAACATTTCCAATTTTTCGGAAAATTTCCAGCCTCTATCCATCCCACCTTCGGAACATCTGAAAACGTTTTTACTCAGAATTTTTCTATAGATACTTTAATCGATGTAGAATTGGATGCTGATCGTGAATATCAGGTCAAAACTGGAAAATAGTTAAGTTTTGATTAAAAAAATCGATTTTACTGCCAGGTGGCGTGAGCGACCTCATTCATTAAAAACAGGTTTTTTCCGTTGGATTTGGTATGGAAACCTCCAAAACCACCTAGAAATACCCAAAAATGTCCCAGCTTTCCGATACGGAACAGATACCTGGTGTTTTCAGGTCCAAAAAGCCACTTGAAGTCGAAAATTCGTGAAAAATCTGTGTTTTCAGCCTTGTCATTTGACTTTTCCGTCAATAGGAAAAGAGGTAACATTACCAGAATAACATAGATGTATGCAGTTTTCAATGCTCTATCTAACGATGATAAAATGTGTTTTCTAAAGTTTAGCCATTTTGGGCAAATCCGGTTTTTCCAACTAAGGTTTTCCAGAAAACCTTACAAAATCCGGTTTTGTTCAGAAATATCAAGGGAAAGTTTTGACCTTTATAAGCCCCCGTCGTTTATGTATATTCCCTTGACTGTAAAGGAGACTTATCGAGTTAAAATGCTTGTTCTCTCCACCGGAGGGGAGAGTAAGCGAGTTTGCAACGTTAAAATGCTTGTCAGTCCGTCTGTCAGTCAGTCAGTCCAGCCGCTTCCTACTGTTAGTTAGTATGTTATTCAATAGGTTTGCAAGGGTGGCCCACAAATGATGTCTCAAATGAAGTTTCAAAGTAAAGTTGTAAACTATCATGAAACGTAGTTAAGTATGAAGTATCGGTGGCAAGAAAGGCGCCATAAGTTTTTTTTCCAAATTTTTTTGTCGCTACTCCCGTTGCTGCATAAGCTAAAAACTGAGTGTATCAGATTCAATGGCGACTGATAAATTTGATTGGTTGAAACTGATCATTGATAGGAGTAGCCACTGTTCTTGTTTCCTTTCAGCTTCGCATCTCAAAGATTTTGATCACATAAGAAAGTCTACCACTTTTTTTCACAGGTTGATTAAGCGTAATCTGCGCAAGCTTGTAATCCATAGTCAGTTATGTGGTGCAACATATTTATCTCAAATGAATCAACTGCAGCTTTGCAGAAAGAAATTCCAAAAAAACTCAGAAAGATCCTTATTGGATATCATATTCTATAACATATTGTCTGTTTCGATCAAGATAATTTAGTGAAATGAATGTAAAATATTTCACGCAGAGATAAGATCTCTTTATATTGTTAAATTAGTATTCAACAATGTGAAAAGCAGATAATTTTGTTAAGCTGAGCATAGCGTTATAATTGGATTCTAAAACTGATAGTTAGCTAAGTTCCATTCTTAAACTAGAGTGACTAAGTTCTTCAAAAACTTTTGAGATAGAATGGTTATAATACTCGATGTTACAGATCATTCTGCATTAGCTTATTTTTTTCGTGCGGCATACACAGGAAGACGACAGGTGCACAACAATCAAAGACTCGCATATTTTAGTGGTTCTAAAAAAACCTTTTTATCCGCTTCAAGAAGCAGAAAGTACTTTTTTCTAATTTGTTTCACTTCTATATAAGTTAAAAGCCTTGCAGTTAGTGAGTGTCTTTGAAAAATTCTTTTATTTTCTTTAATAATCTGTTTAAGGGGTTTCTACGCTACCTTTCGTTTTCGATTTTGGCAAATTGGTCAAAATCCTCTTTTGATTTACCAACAATTTACAAAATACTTTATGTTTTTATCAATGCTGTTGCAAGGGTGTAAAGCAATTAATAAAGCATATGTCATCAGGAAAATTACGGTTAAGCACTTTTGAAGCAATAGAAAAAAGTAAGCAATTTTATCTGATGATATGGCTTATTTGTTCAAAACAAACAATAGTTATTGCTGAAGCAATGAGAAAAAGCGAGAACATAAGAACAAGAAATATATTAAACGATAAACTGTTTAAACATGTGTGAAGAGACAAAATTTAAATATTTTTATTTTTTGAATTTTTTCTTTGTTTGTGTAGTACCACTTTTATCATCACGTTTTCGTTTTATTGATCTTAATAAGTTTCCTAGAATGAAAAGGTGTTCGAGCATAAAATAGCGAATAAAATATGTGTTTAGAAGTACCTGAATCAATATTCGTTTCGGTACTGGTTGACGCAGACTGAACAACAGTTCGATTAAGTAAACGTCGAGTAAAGCCTAAATGACAATAATTGAGCGCACATTATTTGTGATTGATATTTTACCTGTAATAAATGTATGAATCGATGATGTACCAGATAAATCTGATGTGAACGAGGGATCTAAACACAATGTTGCGAATAAATATGCCTTCTACTAAGTATAAATATTACTTATGGCTTGAAAAGAACGTCTTGCTAATATTATACCTAATTTTTGTTTCTCAGGGTTGACATCAGGCAATTGTTCTTGATGGACTGAATTGGTATTAGTAGAATTTATTTGTCTTACCGACCGATTAGTATTTATTGATGGTGTTAACGCGACCGATATAAAGGAGACTTTATCGTCTTTGTTGCAAGTTTTGTCGTTGTTGTTGTGAATGTTATTAATGGACGAGAGGACCGTTGTGATACGTATGCTACGTTGTTCTGTGAGTTCTTTGGTAGTACTCGTAAGCCAATTCTTTGTGCATTTGGATTAATATTAGTTGTTCGACAATTTTTTAAATGAAATAAAATCATAAAAAATGCCGGTGATTTCGGATAGCTGTAGCCACGAACACAGTGGCTGAAATTAGTTAAATAACTAAACATACGTTCGGCAACTTGTGAATCAATGTTCTTGAATGCACCGTTGTGTGATGGATGATCGGCACGCATTACTGTTTTGCACATATCGCGCTTGTGATTCTCCTTGTGAAATCGATCAATGACAAGTTTCATGCGTGATAAAAATATTGTTCGTTTGGATTTCTTTAGATACTTTGTGTTGAACCAGTTTGATATGAACAATTTCAACATACATGCCGTATCGTACATGCCAAGATTAGGTAATTCACCATTTTTAAGAATACGAAGAAGATGACGAACTACTCGGCGCATACTTTCTGAACGAGCCAACTCATCAAAACCAAGAATCACTGAGCAGTTGCTAAATGTGACCAAAATACCATAATTTGATACACTTTTGTTATTCGCATCTCCTCTAACCACGTTGCATAAATGTTCTTTTCGGGCATCATTTACTCCTTTTTCTGCTTCCAATGCTAACTTTAACTGTTTTTGAGTTAGCAACGGTCCACTATTGATCTTTTGCACGGCCGGTTTTTTAGCAAGAGAAGGTTTATGACCATAGCAGAAACGATTGTCACCTTTTTCTAGAATGAAGGAGAACTCCTGCGTATTGTGAAAGAGTGTAGAAGTACAAAAAACATGCCATTTGCTCGTAATGGTGTTTCGGGACATCCAACACAGACCGGGCCCATTTCTGGAATTGAAACATCACAAACATTTTTATATTGGCACACTAAGCGATTTGCTTTACGATGACCATCAATAATAAAGCAGATGAAACACACAGGTTGTTGAAAGCTGTTTGTGGCGCGTCCAGAAACCGATGAATAGTGAGTACAAGTAATCATTATGTGTTTTGAAGTACTTATCTTTGATCGTTTTGTTGTTCAATGAAGATGGGATTGGATATTGTTCATGATCTGTTAACATGAAGATAAAACGCATGAGTTCATAAATCATGTACGTAATTTGAAAATGTTTATCGTTCATTGTTGTCATCGTTGAACGCCGTTTTCTTAGTCTAAACAAAACGAAACGGTTTTCACGAAGATCAACGTAAAGAAAGAAGCATACATTGATGTTCGATTTTGTCTATATGTTGTTGTACGTTGGACTGGTGAAGAAGTTGTGTCATCAGCATTTTCACGTAAAATATCAATTTTTGTGTTAAATGCTTGCGTAAAACTCGCAAATGGCATGTGACCTTGGACCAGTTGCGTTTGAAAATCAATAAGTTTCTCTTTAACATAAATAGTTTCACCACCAAAATAAATAAACTGATCATTTTTAATTGATTTTGCTGTTACAAACGATTCACCATTGTGTATGTAATGCATTGGACAATAACGGATACGACAATTATCACACGATGCATAATAAACAGTACAATTTGTTACCTGATTGTGCTGAACCAGTGTATGCGTGAATTTTGAACATACTGGTTGCAGATTTTTGTTACAGCGAATGCAGACATCAGTAAACGGTAATATGTTGACAAGTGTGATGTTGTTTTTTGCTGAAAAATCGTTCCGTATATAAGTGTTAACAAGAACAGATAAAGGTGGCGGTGATTCAAAATACTTTTTGAATGTTGACTCTTTCGTGACAACATTTACAATAGATTCAACTTTCGATTGTGGATATTTTGTACCAAACGTTTCGTTGATTATATTGGTAATATGTGTTGGCTTGTTGAGCATTTATTTTGGAAACGAATGTAATAAAATGAGTGCTGTTTGTATGTGCGTGAATTTCATGTCACGAATTAGCATGATCAATTCTTCTTCTTTTTTTTTCAATTTGATACGAATTTGTTGTTTTTCAGTCATTTTCTGGAAGAAGAATAAACGAGAGACGAGTAAATTTCATGCAATGAAATTTAAATTATGAAGATAAGATCATGCAGTGAAATACTCTGATTTCTCTGACATTTTTCCGAAAAGCAAAAAATAAAACAGCTTAATTTCGGTTATTTTATTTTGCGAACTAAAAGTTTTGTTTTCTGAAAACTACATTACTTTTGACAATAGTAACAATAATAGAATGATATATCTTTTTGTACACTACAATACTATTAGAGCTGTACAGTTGTATAGTGTAAAAAAAGCCATACACGCGCAAATACATACACATAATCATAAGATTACAAATCAAGCAACGAAATGAAAAGCTATTTACGGCCGATTATGACAAAGATATTCCATTTGATAAGCTCAATTTCTCAACTACTACATTAGATCTTTTTACGGTAACCACTAATGAAGTTGAAAAATGCTTAAAAGCGATTGACGTTAGTAAAGCC